TCTGTGTGTGCACAAAGTGCAGTATTGTGCAGGTCAGAAAAGAACTTATGAAGGTGGGTTGTCTCCTACCATGTGGGTTCTGGGGACTGAGCCAAGGTCATCAGGCTTGGTGCCACTTTTACCCTTCTCACTGACTCTGTAGGGACATTTTATATCCACTAAGGAACTCTAGTGAAGGGTTAGTGGTTGCTCTGGGCTGAGTCAGGGCAGGACAGGGGATGGGGTGACAACTAAAGAGCTTAAGATTTCTTTTGAGGCCATCAAAATGTTCTGAAACTGTTGTACAGATCTGAACCACTCCCAGAACCACTGCAGCCAGCAACACAGGGCGCAGAACCAATGTCCTCTCGCACCCAGCAGAGCCCTGCTCAGGAGCACCCTGCTCAGCCAGCCTCTTCTGGCCCTGGCTCTCCTGAGTGGCTGTTCTTGTAAGTTACTTTCCGAGCTTGAACTTTTTCAGTGAACTTTGCCCTACGAGTGCCTGCTAAGAACCCAGTGAGCCCTTGATTGGGTGCTGTGAGGGACAACCTTGAAATACCTGGGGTGATGGTAGCCCCAGATGGCACTCAGGTCCCTGGCAGGTCGCATGCTCCATAGGGGTTGGACACCATTGATGGATGGCTCAGGGTTGTCTCTGGTTCCTCGGGATAGCTGGCGGACAGAGATGACTGCTGAGTGGTTTTATAGTCCTGGGATAGCATCTCTTTGCCACCCCCTACCCCCCAGATGGAGGGTTTGCCATAGATCTGGAAAATGTTGATGGATGTGCAAGGGTTGCAGCTGTCCCTGTCCCAAGGAATCCAGGTGTTCAGGGGCCCAAGCCCTGTAAGCCTACAGTGTTGTCATGGTAACACCCTCACTGCCCAGTCCTTCCTGCGCAGGGCTCCCTGGGCTGGTCGAGGCATATGGTCCTCTTCATCCACCTGAGGCCAGGGGCAGCGTACCTCCAAATGACTATGGGTAAGAAGGTGCAGTGTGGCAGTCAATGGCCGAGTAAAAAGCAGGGAAGTGATGGCCAGGTGAGTCCTGTGATGCAGCCCTTAAAACAGCTCCTAATATGGTGTACATCTGTGCCCACTGCCCACAGCAAGCGGACAGCCTAGCCATATTTGGCAAAATCTTTTTAGCGTAGTTTGGCCTCAGACATGCAGGGATCTGGATTGCAGGTATGTACCACCAAACCTGGTGCCTGGCAGTCATCAACAGACTTTGCACACACCCATTTCCCCAACAAATGGACTGCCACTCAGCAAGACAAAGGAGCGCACTGGACACAGGGGACCACTTGGGTCACTGACAGAGGCCTGTGCAAAACAGCAGGTGCCACTGTCCAAGGGGGTTGCACAGTGATTCATGTGACATTCTAAAGAAAATAGACCAGTGGTTACCAGGAGGGGCGGGGAGGGCAATGGAATGGCTCACATCCTGACTATGGGGACAGTTACGGGACTTGGCAGGAGCTGAAAGTCATAGCTCCATACAAGAAAAGAAAAACTGAGATTTTTCTGTGCGATCATTTGCAACAACAAGAAATAAGAGTCTGGTGCTGCTCAGCTGCGGAGCACTGCATTAACACGGCCCTGGGTTGGACTGTGTAAAAGAGAAAACAAAATATCTTGCTTTGGCTCCACAATCTGTTACCTGTGAACTGAACGTGGGATCAACCTTGACCGAGGGCTGAGCTGTTTCCTACGACTGTGTAAGACATTTACTTGGGGTTTCATCACTACCATATTCAATGTTGCTTCCAAAATCAGTGTTCAAATTTAATTCCATTGCACTGTATTGAGGCGATTAGAGGGTTGGGCATGGTGGTGCACGCCTTTACTCCCAGCACTCAGGAGGCAGGTCAGCCTGGCCTACATAGTGAGTTCCAGGCCAGCCTGGTCTACATAGGGAGATTCTGTCTCAAACATAAAACAGAAAAGAGGTGATTAGATATATTAGATAGTCTGCTGGGGGAGAAAAGCCCTCAGTGGACTTACCCAGCAGTAAACGTATGCTACAGTACCGACCTGCCAGGCAAGATGTGCCCACTGGGGCAATAGTGGCAGGAAGGTTATAGGGATTTGGATTGGGTTTGAGGGAATTCATGCCTGGTACTGTAAACTTGGTTAAAAAACCACCATAGTTGGGGTCATAGGCTCCCCCCTAGGGAGGAAGTTGCTACTGTTGTAGCCTTCCAAGTGTTGATGTTTATACACACAGACAGTGCTGCTCTCAGCCTTGGCCAGAGGCCACTCTGCACGGGGCAGTACTTAGTGCAGCTGCGGAACTGGTCAAAGTGCTGAGAATAAGCGTTCACTGCATGCTCAGCTGTAAGTAGCACAGAAGAGGGGGCAGAAAGGCTCTCAGTGCCAGAGACGAGAGAAAGAAAATCTTTTAAAAAGGTTTTTAAAGTCAAGTGTGGTGGCACATGCCTTTAATCTTAGCACTTGGGAGGCAGAGACTGGCGGATCACTGTGAGACTGAGGCTAGCCTGGTCTACGTAGTGAGTTCCAGGACAGCTTGGGGCTACAGGGAGACCCTGTCTCAAAAAAAAAAAGGTGATTAGGCCTTTACAAGGGCTCCACCCTCATGGCGGAGGGGGATTGGTATCCCCACAAGAGGGCAAATTGGCCCCCTCCTGCTCTCTGGCCTCCTGCTAGGTAATCCAGCACAGAAGGCCTGGTGGGAGGCTGTTACTTTGGACCTCCAGACTCCAGAACTGTGAGGAACATATTTCTCTTCATTATGAATTACTTAGGCTCAGGCATTGTTACAGCAGCATAAACACATTTAAGACAAGCCTTAAAAAAGAGCCCCATAGTTGAAGGTGCTTGACGCCTGACCCGAGTTCAATCCCCAGGAGCCACAGGGCAGAAGGAGAGCTGACTCCTGAAGGTCATCCTCTGGCCTTTACACGAGTGTGGTGGCACATTCAGCACTCTCCCAACTAAAAAAAAAATGCAATAAAAATGAATAAAAGGGGCTGGAGAGATGGCCCAGGGGTTAAGAAACACTGTTCTTGCAGAAGACCTGGGTTCGAATCCCAGCACCCACATGGCAGATACAATTTCTTTAAAAAGTGAAAACAGAGCCCCGAAGAGGCCACAGAAACTAGTGCTATCTGGGTAGTGTCTCTGCTAGTCTCAGCCTTTGCTGGAGACAGTCTCACACTGCAGTCCAGGCTGGCCTGAAATTTGGGGGTCTTTTGGTCTTATGAGACACGGCCTCCCTGGAGCCCCAGCTGTCCTGGAACTCGCTATGTAGGCCAGGCTGGCCTTGAACTCACAGAGACCCGCCTGCCTCTGCCTCCAGAGTGCTGGGACTAAAGCCGTGTGCCACTACGCCCCGCCTGGGCTAGAATCTGTGATCCTGTTGCCTCCCCTATAGGGTGCTGGGATTACAGGAGTGTACCACCATGTCAAGTTTGGGTGACCGACCTATGATTCAGACTTAGAAATGGAAGAGATGCTGGGAGCCTGCCCTGAAGATTTCACAGAGCTGCCAAGGACTTGGTGTCTGCGCCAGGCAACACCCAGCTGGATTTGAGTTCTGATTAGAACCTCCCTTCCCCAAGCAACTGCTCTGCACAGGAGCCAGCAGGAAACCAGGCACACATGCTTCACTCCTTCAGCAACACCCCCTTCCTTGCTAGGTGCCCGTTCCAGCTCCACGCACCAGCCGCCCCGTGGCCTGCCATGGCTTTCCGGAGTGTCTTCTGTGCTGTCCCACCCGCCTTCCTTCCTCCACCTGGCTGTGGGGTATACTCAGCACCACCACAGCCCTACTGACCTCCAAGTCCTGAGGAATCTTCTCTGCTAGTACCCTGGCTCTGCCATGGGCTTTGCATGCTGTCTTGGGTCCCATGTACCCACCAAGACTAGAAGTCAAGTCCGTCTACACCCTGACCGACACTGACTGATGGGAAGACAACCATCAGCTGCAAGATGGAACAGAGAGCTGCAAAGGTCACACCGAGGCCAGAGCTCACTGGCTAAGGGTTGAACCTAAGGGCTTCTATTGAGCTAGGGGCAGTGGAATCTGTCATCTAGGTAATCAGGAGGCTGAGACAGGAGGATAGAGTATGAGGCAGTGTAGGCCATATCACAAGGCCCTGCCTTGGAAAAGGTTATATTCAGGGGATGTGACTCTCCCTTCCTTGACACCATGGAGAGCTGCTGACTTGGACACCCCATCAGCTGGAGGTGCCAGGCTCCTTGAAGAGACAGAAGAGGGGTCCATCCTACTAGATAGGTTCTGCTGAGATTAGCCCAAGGCCTGGGAATCAAACTAGTCAGGAACCAAAATATTCCACCTGGCTTCCAAGTAGGCTTGCCATCCTTTTAACAGTGTAGGCGTGCAGGGCCTGGATGTACCTGGGGTCCGGGAGCTGCTGCTGCAGGCCTGGAGCAGACTTCATTGGTGAAACTACCCTGGGGACAGCCACACACTCCTGCCGCAGAGGTCAGTGAGGAGCCCCAACAGTACCTACATCATCTCCAAAATCCTCTGGTGGGTAGAGCCCCTCCTGGTGGGCACAGGCACTCCAGAGGTGCTGTGAAGGGCCGCACTCACTCTTGGCTTGCTGCAGCCAAGCACCAGCTCAGGGCTGCCCCTAAAACAGATTTCACCTGAAAACCCAGGTTCTAGTGGATCTTGAGACACCCTGAGAACTAACCATGCCTGGCTGGTGTCCCAGGGCCTGGAAGCCTGACCACCAGCCCCATGTGCAGGAACAGGCAGCCCGCATGCATCCTGAGGGGCCAGAGCCCTGCTCTGTGCTTTCACAGCGGCATCTGCCCAAGGTGACTCCTGGAGATGAGGAAACCCTCAGCCTCCACCTACCACAGGGAGGAGCACAAAGCTTCCCTCCTGTGTCCGGCACCTAGCCCTTGGCTTTGGCTAGACAGCAGCCAGGGCTGTCTGTAGGGTCGCTAGCCAGCAACCTTCCCATCCACCCATGCAATGTGCCACGAGGGAGGCATGCCAAGATGCCAGGCTCAGGTCCAAGAGGCGAAAGGTCATGCAGGGGTCAACTTTAATACTGGGGTTGACCTGTTTGGGGTTAAGGAAGAGATGCCCTCCTTTCCTGGTAGGCCCTGAAGGCTGCCCTGTGCTCCTCACAGACCCAAGGACCCAAGATTGTCCACTATCAAACAAACACAGGGCACGAGAAGTCATCTCCAGCTCTGCGTCTCCTGTCCCAGCGGCTGATGACACAGGGGCCGGCAGCCTCCAGTGTCCAGGATTCCCGTGGGCACACTGTGAAGGGAAGCTGGCTGGAACAGGATCTTGCCACCACCTTCAGGACGTTTCTTCAGTGAATGTATTCACAAGCGAGGAAGCGTGAAGTCCACTCAACAAGGACGGCCTCCGGTCCACCTCCACCAAACTCAAGAGGCTGCATCAAAGGAGCCGAAGAGGCACCAAGAGGTTTGGAAAATGCCGTTTTCTGGGATTTCTGCCACTAGCCTGCAGGGAAACTGAGGGATGTCAAGATGCCAGGCAAGGTGAGGACACCTTCACTGAAGCCCCCACCAGCTCACATGAGCAGCAGCGAAGTGAGAAGGAAGCATAGGGACCCCGAGGTCTGACGCACGTCCCCACAGCAGAGCGGTCACGTGGAGCTCCGTGAGCAGAGAAGAGCACCAGGAGTGGTGGGCTGCGTGGGCACCACAGCCTGAACGGGCCTGGCTGAGGGCTTCAATGTCGGCATCCTGATGAAAGTTCGGGCCCGTGTGAGCGCTGCTCGAGCTGTCAGCACTGTCTGCACTGGCTGGCTTGGCCTGTGGGGCCTCTTGGGAGCCTTCAGGGCCACCGCACGGCCAAACGCTCTGAGGGCCAGTCCTCGGGGAATCCAGTGAGTCCCAGGAGAGGCCAGGTTACGAGGCTGCCACCAGCTCTGCCTGCCTGGGTCTGGCCTTGACAGGGGCTTTCTCTGCGGAGAAAACAAGTGTTCACGACACACCAAAGACTACACAGATGTTTTTAAAGGATGAGGCCAGAGGCTGCTAGGGGAAGGGGTCTAGCAGCCCCCACAGAGGTGCAGAGCTCTTAGGAAAGGAGCAATTTCAAAAAGTCTGGGTGTGGTGGAGGCTTTGAGCCATAGTCCATGATGTCTGAGGGCAGCAGCAAAGGCTGTGCTTTCCAGACAGCTCATTGAGTTGGGCCTCTAGGACCTGGGGGGCTGACAGAGGGGCCGACGGGCCTTCTCCCAGGTCTAACTAGTGGACACACTTCTGTGAGCTGTCTGGCCCCCATGAGAGAGCCCAACCCCTTGGAAATCGAGGCCTAGTCAGAGGTCAGGCACCCATCCCCCACAGACGCAGGCTCAGCCCTGGGCATGTTCTCCCACCACACTGTGGAAGGTGTCAGCAGACTAGGTGAGCCAGGAGCATTGCGGACTGTTCCCTTTGGGGACTCAGTGCACTCCTTCGGACCAGCACCGCACAAAGCACAAAGGTACCTGGGTTTAGTTCAGGAAGTGGCTCTGAAGGGACCTCTGGCAGCTCAGTGTGCTCCTGTAAGAAGCAGGGTTGAGAGGGTGAGGTGGACCACCACAGGCCCTGGCTCTTCGAGGAGCTGAACCTGCCCTCAGAGGGACTCAGAGTAGCTGTGAGCCTACTGCTTGAGACCTGGCTCTGCAACTCCCTAGCTACAGTGTCTTCACAGATGAAGATCACCTCAGGGCTGACACAAGCAGCACAGGGTGGGGTGGGCTTTTCCAACAGTCCCTGGTATCCCTCGGGTTTTGGGCTATCTCCAGGGATGTTGGTTCACAAGGCTGGGAAGGGACCATGGAGGAAAGAGGTGCCCAGGGTATGCTGAGTCCACAGGGCCAGGAAACAATGGCTTCTATTGTGAGGTACCCTGAGGGGCTGTGATCTTGGGGGGCTGTGGTGGGCTGTGGCACCTCCTAAGATGCCTGGCCCCAGCAGGTGGTTCTAGAGGCTCAGGAAGACCTTGGCAAGCAGAGGTCATGACCAACAGGAGTCAGCTTGGCAACCACAGAGCTTGTAACCTGGACACAGGGACAGGACACAACTGTAGCCACAGCATCAGAGCCAGGGCCGAGCACGCACAGAGGTGAGCAGACGCCACTGGCTGAGAGTCTCGTGAGGAAAGCACAGGCTGACTGGGAAGGGAGGCTCAGCATTTCCCCTCTGTCCACACATGTGTGGGTCACCAGAGCCTGCAGCCAACTCCAGGGTCAGCCTCACACTGTTCCTTCTACAGTTCCCCAGCCACCAGCAGGGCACATGGAGAAAGCATGAGTTTACACAACCCCAGGTCCCCTTAGGAAGGAAACTGGGCAAACCAGGGCTCTAGGCTCAAACAAAATGGCTGGACACACCATAGGCAGAGACTTACTTGGGTCCCATCACCCAGGGAACAGGACAGCCCTGGAGACGCATACCTGAGTGATTGCATTCAGTTCCTCCAAGATGGCATCCTCATCCTCCTGAGTGAAGCTTCCTGCCAACAGCTCATCTATTTGCTGCAGAAGGAAAGGCAACAGTGAGGGGCACACCCAACTGGGTCTCTGGGTGTCTCCACTGAGGAGCAGTGGCCAGTGTACAGAGTGGGGTGGGCTGGCCCTCCGGGTGGCCGGCCATGGGTGCCAAGCTGGCAGTCGGTGGGTCCAGCAACACCTACCCGCTGGTACTCCACAGCCTCCTGAGTCTCGTCCAGGATCCTCTCCACCTCTTCTATGGACATCACCTGGGAATGATCAGGTCTCAAGAGTTGCTCAGTGAGGCAAACAGCCCACACAGCAAGGGCTCAACCCCTGTCCATCTCTGCTGCTTCCGTGACACCAGGCAAGTGAGCCTGCCCTCAGCTTTGAGCTAGACCTGTCTTCTGAGGCACTGCCCAGACCTTCCCTGACCTAGGACAAACCTGACCATTACTGGTAAAACAGATCAAAACTGGAAATTCTTTCTGGGCAGTGACTTGATTTCCTTTGTTTGGGTTCAACACAGCACCTCTGCTTGGCTGGAGCCCATGCCACCCATTCCCCACTCGAGACACCCAGAGAGGTAGTGAACCTGATCTCTGGCCTTTGAGTTCTTGGCTCCCCGACCAGCTCATTCACGACAGCCATGCTGCCTCCTGAGCGCTGAGATGGGGCTGGTACTTGCTGCCTCCAGAAAGCTTCACTGTTTCCTACCTGCCCTGTCACTCAGCACGAGTGGACCTAGCTCACAGGTTGTGCCGCTGTGCCACACCTCTCTCAAGACTCTTTGGTCCCTGCCAGGTACTGGCACATCTCCCAGCCCAGCCAAACTCATGCTCTGGTCTGGCACAAACTTCCCCTGGCAGGTAGCCAGGATGCAAAGGGCCTTAGGCATCCGACCTGAAACCTCACCTTACTCTACTAAGCCCTGCATCTGCACCCACCCACCAGGCCCAGGGAGGACCTACCTGGTGCATCTTGTTTAGACACTCGTTCCCCACCTGCAGCCCCTCCATCACCTTCATCTCGATCTGGGTGAACTCAATGCTCTGAACCTGAAAGCATCAGCCGGTGGTCAGAGGCCATGCCTGGCTCCAGACCAGGGCGGCTGGGTGACAGGGGCTTCTGGCAATCGAAGGAACCTAAGGCCTTTCCAGTCCTCTGCTATGCCTGCTGGGGTCGGAGGACTGGAAAGTTGCCAGAAAATACTCAGGATGCTGACAGCCCTTCAGTGGCTTCAGTCCACAGGGGCAAAGGCGAGGCCCCTACCCTAACACTGGGACATGTACACGCTGACCCTCAGCAGCCTGACCTGCTTCCCTGTCACCAGTCACCCGAGAGGGCCCAGCCCCCAAACCTCTTCCCTAGGCTCTCAAGCTCCTGGCAAAGGCTCCCGGCTCCCTACCATGGCCTCCAGGCTGCTGATCTGGTTCTCCGCTCGGTCCAGCAGCTGCTCCCGGTACCGCTTCTTCTTGAGCAGCAGTTTGGCCCGTCTGCAGGGAAGTTCACGTGTCCGTCCCGGGCCCAGCTCCAGGGAGGCACGTCCTCCCAAGCCACATTTGCCCCAGGGAAGTGCCCCTTACTCTTTCCTGCCATCCCGTAGCAGCTGCCTGGCCAGAGTCCGCTCCCTCTCCAGCTGCTGTGTGACCCTCTTCTGGTACTGCCTCAGCTTGTCCCGCTGCTGCTTCAGTTGCTGGCCAGAGAGCAAGAGTGCAGCCTGGTCAGCGCCCACGCTACCAGGACCCCACAGGCCGTGTCAGCGCAGTCAGAGGCTCAGGCAATCCTCTAAAGCAGTGCCTCTAGGGGACAGATCTGCCATCCAAGGGCTGGGCAGCAATACCTGGAAACAGCTCCACACACAATTGTGGGGGATGCTACTGATGTCCCCAAGGTGCATGGGCAAAGGAGAACCCCATCCTACTCAATCCCAGCTTGGCCCCCAACACAGCAGGACAAGGTCAGGAGCAATATAAGCCCTGTGGGGCATAGAGGTGGCCGCTAGCCCCTGGAAGTCTCAGATGTAACAGAGAACATGGAGCTGCATGCCAGCACCCCCTTTCTTTTAGAGACAGAGTTGGTCTGTAGGCTGGCTCAGAATTCACCATCCTCCTACTTCAGCCTGACAAACGTTTATCAGCACAGGTCACTCCCCCCATTACCATGCGCTTCCTGTCCCTCCCAAGCCACACTAGCCCGTCTTCACTGACTGGGAATACATCTGAATGGGCAACAGTTGGCCACTCGGCAACATACATAGGACTTGTCCGCCACCTTTTGACTTTCTGCCCCACTAAAATGTCTCAGCTTCAGATGGTGTTAGGAGGGGCAGGTGCAGGCCTGGGCACATCTCACACACAGGATGATGCCTTGTACTTGAAGTCAGGCAATCGGCACCTTCAAGGTTCAGCTAGTAAGAAACCACTTACCATATATGCTAGGTTACCTGGGAGACTAGGCTAGCTGGGGGGAACCGGGGGTCAGCTTCCAGGTCCCTCCCTTTCACCCAGTGTTTTTTCAGAGTCTACCCCTTAGTAGGCGTCAGCTGCATGTCCTGTCCTCACTATGAGAGAAAGTGCCCATAATCCTGCCCTTCAGCTTTGGCGACCCTGTGGCCAGACTACAGTGCCCTTTCTTCCTGGGTGGTCAGATGGCCAGGCTATCCCTCTGTAAAGCGAGGGCTGAGCGGAGGGATTGGGGCGAGGCGAGGGCTGAGTAGGTGGGGCGAGCTCGCTTCTCCTGTGCCTAGACCACCTGCGACCCTCTGCTGCAGCCTGTCACAGAGATGTCCTGAGTCCCGGAACTCCGTGCTCGGAGGACTACAGCATGCTTGGCCTTCCGAGCCCAGCACCGCGAGCTGTACTTGCAATGGAGGACCAGTCCAGAGAACCGTGGCCTGGGACTTCCTGGTCTCCAGAGGTGGGGGCTGGGCACCCCTTTTCGTCTGACTTGGTGACAACGTGCCCATGGGGGTCTTCTTCGCCTGCGGACCTCGGCTAAGAACTTTGTATTAACTTGTGGCTTAGGCGTCAAGGTAAACCCAGTGCCCGGGTACACGCGGCGGGTCTGGACGCCCCGGTGCGGCCACTCGCCGCGCAGAGCTCCCCGGCACAACCCGGGGTCTTTCCGGGAAGGCGGGGGTCGGGCGGGCCGCCCTGCCTGGGGAGCGGGACGCCAGGAAGCCCCGGCGGCGTCCGGGTGAGTCTGCAGAGCCGCGAGGACCGCGGGCCGCTCGGCTCCAAGCGACCGCGGCGCTGCCCGAGCCTCAGTCCCCCCGCCCCTCGCCCGAGGCGCCCGCCCCCCGCGCCGCCGTCCGCTCACCAGGATGGCCCTGTCCTGCTCGGTAACCCGGCTCTGCTTTTTGCGGCCGAACAGGTTGCCCATGGCGGCCCCGCGCCGGCCGGGAGCCCGTCGCTCCCACTTTGCGGCCTCCGTAATCCGCCCGTGTACGGCGGCCGCGCAGGGCCCCGCGCCGCAGAATGCGAAGCCGTAGACGGCGAAGCCGCCGCTAGGCCCCAGCCGGCCCCGAAGATACGATCGTAGCGGGTCGCTGCGATGCTGTCTCCACGGAGACCAACGCTGTCTGATTAGGTGGACCCTTAATGAAGCGCACGGTAGATGCGCGAGCCTGCGTCAGGCTTCCCAGGCTGCAGACCGCCCTGCTCCGGACACAGAGCGTTGGGTTTAGTGATGCTGAGCGCTCTGGACCACCTGCTTGCTGAAAGCTGCCTCTGACGCTGTCGCCCTCCCCAAGTCTTCTCACGTGTCAGGACCCGGGACACAGAGCCCTACCTTTGGGGGGGGCTTGGGGTAAGAGGGAGCGGGGTCACCCCTGCTGCAACTGCTGGGGCTGTTGCAGCTGACCACACTCCGGTGACCCCAGGGGTTCTCCGTCATCATCAGATGGAGTGATTTAACTGGGGTGTGGCAGACAGGCATGCCCACCGCTTGACACTCTGACAGCCCCGAAGGGCGCACTGCTGCCCTAATTCCCTGTCTTGGCCTGGAGGTTGGTCCTGTTTGCGCCACTGTAGTCACCCCTGTGAGAGGTAATACGGAACTGTGCCAAGCATCCTCCTTCGTCTATGACTTCGTGAACTGGGGCCCAGACTTGGCTCAGCCTCCACACATCATGAATCTCATAAATACTGCTGGGATGTTGCATCCCCAGGACCCCTTTACAGCCAGCACCTTATGATTCCTGAGCTGTCTGGGAATTTCCTTCTCCTCATCCACAGTTCCTTCAGCAAATGAACAAAGGACTCTCTGTGGAAGGCATGGAGGTGGCTGTTCCTCCCGAAGAAACTCCAGGTCTTGGCTTTGTCTGGGAAAGAATGCCGGTGTGGGGGTCCATGAATGAAGTCTCATCTATTGTCTATTGTGGTGCTATCAGGCAGACTTTGTTTACAAGACCTAGTGCCTATTTCCTTCTGTCACTTAGGGAAGCAGTTTCTAGGGGGCTGTTTTATCATTCTCTGGGGTCCTCTGGTTAGCCAGGGGTCCCACAGGCCAGGGTACTGTACACACCAGTACGCCCAGCTGCCCACTACAGTGCTCAGCCACTTGCCTTGGTGGCTAGTGTTGCCTCTTAGTCCCTGCTGCTCTGTTGTCGCACCATCCTCAAGAGAGCATGGTGCCAGCCTCAACAATGGCACCCTGTCCCCGTGGTCAATTTGGCCTATAAAAAAACAGCAGCAGTGGAACTTTCTAGGCAGCTAGGGTTTCCCATCTGAGTGGTTCTGGAGTCCTAGTGAAGGCCTTGCTCTGGTGTGTGTGTGGGGGGGGTGGAAGTGGTGTTCGGGTCATTACTGATGTACTCAGTTCACTGGCCCCACCTATGCAAGCCTCTCTCCCTCTTGTCCACTCTGTGCCAGGAGGCCTTGAGATCTCAGACTCACTAACTGTAGGTCTAATCCATCAAGTAATGGGTTGGACACAATGGTGTAGTTGGTGTGTGTGTGGGGGGGTGGAAGTGGTGTTCGGGTCATTACTGATGTACTCAGTTCACTGGCCCCACCTATGCAAGCCTCTCTCCCTCTTGTCCACTCTGTGCCAGGAGGCCTTGAGATCTCAGACTCACTAACTGTAGGTCTAATCCATCAAGTAATGGGTTGGACACAATGGTGTAGTGCGGGGGGCACCAGGTGGGGTTGTAGCCTCACTTAGGGTTGTATTTCAGATTCCCAGGTCTCACACTCTGGAAGCCACTTCCACACATACTCCTGGCTTTCTGCCAATATCAAGTTGAAAATCTCCGAGTTCTTGTAGACTATAAGCCAGGATTTGGCAGCTATGGCCTGTGAGCCAAATTCAACCTGGAGCCTACTTTTTTGTATAGGCTGCAAGCTAAGAATGGTTTCTATATTTTAAAAGGATTGTAACACACACACACACACCACACATGACAACACCCTCTAAAAAAGAAGAAGAGGGAAGAGGAGAGGGAGAATAACCGTGGACAGAAACCTTACGTCTCTCAAAGCATAGCAAGTTTTCTGTTTGGTCCTTGTTTTTTTGTCGGTTTTTTTTTTTGTTGTTGTTGTTTGTTTTCTTTTTTATGTGTATGCGTGTATTGCCTGCATGTAGGTAAGTGCACCCGTGTCGTGCAATGAATGCCCTAGGAGGACAGAAGAGGCTGTTGGATCCACTGGAACTGGAGTTATGGACAGTTGTTAGCTGCCATGTGGGTGCTGGGATTTGAACTCGGGTCTTCTTGCAAGACCAGTCAGTGTTCTTAATTGTTGAGCCATCTCTCCAGCCCCTAGTCCTTGTTTTTTGAGAAAAGTTTTTGCTGTGTAGCACAGGCTGGCCTTGAACCCGTGATTCTCCTGCTCTAGCTTTCTGAGTACTGGGATTCTGGGTGTATGTGCTACCATGCCCAGCACCATTTAGCCCTTTATAGAAAAAGTACCTCCCCCCCCCGCCCCCGATTCCAGGCCATTTCTCACCTTGTACCTGGCCCCTATGACTTGACTAACTACAAGCAACAGGAGGTGGCTCTGGAGGTCCTTAAGGAGGACAGGAACTTCTAGGGACCTGCCACAGGGCTGCTCATGAGACGTCCCTAAATGCAGGACTCCAGTCCCCTCAGCCACTGCTCACCCATTCTGGTGGAAAACCTTCACTTGACCTCAGAGATCCAAGGTCATCAGTCTGATTTGAACTCAAGTCCAGTCTCCTTCTGAGTTCAGGGCTCCTGTCTTTTCATCAAGGCCCCGATTTTTTTCTTCTTCTGTTGCTAGGGCCTGTGTGTGTGCTAGGCAAGTACTTTCTCACTGAGCTACACCCCTAGCTAAGGTCCTAACTTTCAAGGGAGGAATTCGTATGGCCAAGTAAAACTTAAGCCAGCATGGCAATCACCTGGTTTATGCCTTGTTCTCATGTCTGATCTGCAGCAACACTGTCCTGTAGCTGTCAGAAGGGAAAGATCCTCTCAGGACAGCCAGGGAACACTCTGTTTCTTAAGGACGAGGGCTTCGGAGCTGAGCTTACCTGGCCACTTCTGTGAATGCCGCCCCAATGCATGGAGGGGTCCTTTACCCCATGGTCCAGAGGCTGCTGCTACTTGGCGACATGCGTGTCAAGTGGCCTTTATCACCACCAGCCAGAGGCATTAGCTTCCTTCAGGGTGATGCCCACATGGTACAGCAGTAGCACCCATTTCCCACTGGCGAGAAGCTCAGGAGCACATTCAACCCCACTGTCAAGGCCAAAAGACTGCTGAAAGCCCATCTTGAAAGGTGCGTCTCCCGGGGCCACTGCATGATGACACATCCATATGGCTCAGTTCCAGGAAGTCACAGAAACTGCACAGGTCATCTGGAAAGGACCTTCGGCCATTCAAAGGGCACATGAGACCCCTGAGGGATCCAGGAGTAGCAAATGCTGGAAGCAGCCTCCACTCCTAAGACAGAGAGAACACAGGGAACCATCCGAGAGCCCGGGAGAGCACTCTGCCTAGTGGGGTCAGATTTGCTGGAGGGGCTCTGGTTGAGAAGAAGGCTGGTAAGATGAGAACCAGGGTTTTCTGTAGGAGAGGTGCTGGCTGGTCACAAAACTCAGAAAGTGTGTGTGTGGCCAGGAGCACCCACCAGATGGTTGAGTTTGCTGGAGGTAGAGTAGCAGAGTCTGCAAGGCACCACCCACAAGAGGCAGTCCCCCAAGAGCCTGGGTCCATTGGAGAAAGGAGGGTGCTGGGCCCACAGAGGGAGGTTGGGGCTGGGGTATGGCCCAATGGCAAAGTGCTTGCCTAGCACTGTGAGGTCCTGGCTTCCCTCCCCAGCACTGCAAACAAAAGAGAAGGGGAACCCTCCACCAGCTCTTCCTCTAGCTCCAGCAGAAGTGCTTGCAGGGCCCAGCTCCATCCTCACGAAGCTGACCCACAAGGGTATAGCTGAGAGCAATCTCCACATGCACTGTGAGCCTGTGATTAGGGCCAGAATGCTATTGCCAAGACCAGGTCACAAATGCAGAACAGCTCCTTTCTGATTCCCGTGTGCTGTTCCTGAAGCTCAGCCATCAAGCTGGGAGGGGCCACACAGCTGTGGGAGAAAGCCTTGGCAGAAAGGCACTGCTATCCAGTGCTCCTCATGGTGGATGTGCCAGGTTCCCTGAGGGCTTGTGTGTTGGACAAGTGCTCCTTGGCTGCTGTTGCCATTTTGGGAGGCTGCAGGAATTTTAGATGGGGCCTAAGTAGAGGAAGTAGGTCAGTGGTGCAGACCTTTGAAGGTTCTACCTGATCCCCATTCCTTCACGACTCTGCTGTCCACTGTAAGGTGAACACTCCCCTCCACAGCTTCTGTTGCTGAGCTGTTCTGATCCACCACAGCCCAGAATCAACAGAGCCCAGCACGATGGGTAGAGCCTTCTGAAACTGTCCGTCAAAACCCTTCCTTCCACAGGTGGTTTCTGTTAGCTATTTTAGCACAGCAGCAAGAAAAGCAGCTGATACACAGTCACGGCCATGAGTCGTGTTGAAGGAATCACTCCAGTGCTCCATCAGGTGCAGCACGCTGGCTGAGGTCCACGGGGCAGAGACGAACCTTTCCTGACGAACACTGGCTAAATCACAGGACCGTGAGAGAAATCAAGGACGGCTGTTCTCCTCCACCTTGGGTGTTGCACAGCGGTATGTCACCATGATGAAACTTCAGGTCCCCAGGAAGGTGGTAGGAAGGCCTCGGAGCATACGTGTACATAAGTACTTGGATAATACTTTTTTGAGTCCTTCTACAGAGAAATCCACCTCACCCTCCTCCATTCAAGGCCCAGCCTTTGGCCTCGACTTAGAAATTCCCGGTTTTCCTTTGAGGTACTTTCCCCCGCTGCATATGTGTGTGATATATGTGTATGCATATTCATGTTAGTGTGGGTGTGTGAGTGCCACAGTGTACACGTGTCAGTCCTCACCTTCCACCTTCTTTGAGATAGGGTTTCTCTTGTTTATTGCAGCGTGTGCCAGTCGAGCTGGCTGCCCGTCTCCCCTCAGGAGTGCTGGGATTACAGATGCCCACACTATTGCTTTACATGGGTGCTGGGGATCTAACTCGGCTTGTCGGCGGACAAGATGCATGCTTCACTGAGTCATTTCCCCAGTTCCAGTGAGGCCATCTGACCTGCCTGCTGCTCCAGGCTCGACATCCTGCTTGGTCACTGTCCCCAGCTTCCTGGATTTCTCACCCTTTGGTAGTCCAAGTCCCTGAGATTGTGGACCCGTTTGGGTGACTACACCCCCACCTCATCCCTGGCCTGCAGGCTCCTCACTACTGAACTTCTGACCTTTGTGAGAGGGGTGCTGCTGTGGTTCAAACATGAAATGGTTCCCAGAGGCTCATATTTTTGGATGCTTGTTTCACTTGGTGGCGGTGACTTGGGGGGCTATGGAGCCTGTAGGAGTTGGGATCTGGCTGGGAGAAGCAGGTCACTAGGGGCAGGCCTTTCAAGGTTAATAGTTCAAGTCACCCTCTGACTCCTGTCTACCTCAGTGAACAGCTGCTGCCTCGCACTCCTGCCCTGGACGGAGCTGCTCCCCATGCCTTCCCCATGGTGAAGAAGTGTGACCCCTGCAGCTGTGAGCCCAAATCGACCTTTCCTGCTGGAAGTTCTTTCTGTCAGTATTTTATTTCAGTTGCAAAAAGCACTAATACAGGTGCACCGTGGGGAGATGAGGAGGCCACGGAGGAGGCCACAGAGGAAGTCTTGCTCCTGATGGCATGATGTCAGCTCCCCTGCCTCTCCAAGCTTCAGGGTTCTTTTTGACATTATTCTGAGGCGCTGCAGCTCAGGGAGCCTCTGTAGTCCAGGTTCCCAGCAATGGACAAGAAAACTGCCCGGGCTTTTCACAGACATGCAAGCCAACACTGGACTCC